GCTTCATTAATGCATAAGACGCAAAGTAATAACAAAGCAAGGAAGTCTTTTAACTGGAAAGGCCTTTATTCTTAATGGGGCTTTAGACACTACTCATGCGAGCAGTACAATTTTATTGTATAAGCAGTCTGTTTGGGATGTAGCACATCCACATGTCCATTAATATTCATAAATGCATCCATGTCTATATGTATGTAGATTAGGGTGGTTTTTAAAAATATCAAAATCATGGGCACCCCTTAATTTTGTTCTACTACGTACAATATAAAGATATGCACGAAAATTTCAAAATTTATAAAAAATAGGTGTCGTTACCAGGGCTTGTAAAACTGATTTTTTTTTCAAATCACAAAATTTCAACATAATGTCGACTTCGACCAGCTCAGCGAGTTTATAAATTGATACGATTAAATTTCGATGAAAAATTTATGAGTTTTTTAGTTAAACAATTTTTTTTTGCTCCAGTACTTAACCTCTAAAATTTTGTATAAAATTTTGAAAATTTCCTTGATATACATATATACTACGTAGAAAACGAAAGGGTGCGCCATACCAAATTTAAATGTTGATATTTTTGAGCACCACCCTAGTGTAGATGCCCTGAAAAAAGGAGTCTCCTTCAGTGATTGCAAAAAAACGAAACGACAAAACGGCGAATGATCTGATAACAAAGACTTTCATAAGCCAACAATTAATGCGTTGCTGCAGCAAGTTCGATGTGTCGTAAATTAAAATTATTAATAAATTGCATACAACAACAACAAAAACAAAAACAATTATTAAGGAAACTGTAACACGACATGACAAAGGAAAATAATGAAATATCACCGCTACGGCGAATACACACAGTTGCACACACGTGCATTGGACGTATGCACATTAGGGTGGTCCAAAAGTTCATGCGAAAAATAAAGTCCTGATTCTTAGACTCTTACCACCAAGGATTGTTCTATACCAAAAAAATGTGCTGCTATTTTTCTATTTTGAAATAAAAAAAATACTAAGAGGTCGCTCAAAGCGCTCAAAGTTTTCCTAGTATTTTATATAAAAAAAACTTCGTAGAAATGGTATAGAATTCTTGAAAATCAATCATTTTAGATCGAAAACTCTGTTTCTCTTCTGGAGATTCCCAATAATAATAAGAAATTATTTGTTTGACCGTTTTTTTCATAATAACTATTGATTTTCAAGAATTCTATGCCATTTCTACGAAATGTTGTTTTTTCGACCTCTAAATATTTTTTGATTTCAAAATAAAAAAAATAGGGGTATAATTTTCTTCGATATAGAAAAATCCTAGGGAGTTAGCGAGTATAAAAATTCCGACCTTACTTATTTTGGACCACACTAATGTACATACATACCTATACCGGCTTACACATCAACAAAGAGGTTAAAGTTGCAAAAAAGGCAAAAAATCGTATAAAACAACAGTAAAACATGTGAAGCTGTCTCGTCTCGCCAGCAGTAAAGTTTGCGCGTCATTTGTGTCCTTCCAGCTGTGTGCCGTGCCACTTTCTACGCTTCCTCTCCCCTCTACATACACACATGTACCACAACACATCGGCTCCTTAAGCTGCTGGTCTGCTCCGTGCTTTGTGTGCTTGTCTCACAGCTGCCTGCCTGCCTGCCTGCCGTAGATGCTCTACTCTGAATTATGTGTTGTTTTGATCTGCTTTCATTTCTTCCTGGTTCAAGTGGTGACTCCAAGTGGCTTATAAGCAAATATGTATGTACATATGTATGTATGTTTGTGAGTGTGAGTGGGCATATGCACATATGTATGTGGCTATCACTCGTGCGATCAGTTTGACGTCGCTGCTCAAATGCGTTCTGCGAAAGCTGCAGTTTACTATCTATCTGTGCATTTTTTGTTTGCCCACCTACCCCTACCCCCACCGCTACCCAACTGCCGGTCTGTCCGTCTGTTATGCGTCTGGTGATTATTTACTCATCTGCAAGTCGATCGTCTTTTGTGTGTTTAGAAGTGATGAGGTTCCTCTGACGTTGTTTGTTTGCTTTATTTGGGTGCATACATATTTAGAAAGCAATCATAGGTATGTATGTATGTACATATGTGTGGGTGTATTTGCATAAAATATGTATGCACAATAAATGCATACGTTTATAGTTAAATGCAAATTACCGCTAGTTCCATATGATGCGAGTGTGAGTGTGCGTTGACGGTTCGGAACGGTGATTTCAGCTTATTTTTTGTATTGTTTTGGAGCAACATTTCACATTTGACATTTTCGAACTGCTACGGAACCATTTTTAATTAATTGGATTTTATACCTTCGGCCCAAGTTCTAAACATATAAAGTACAGTAGTAATAGTATATACAGTAGACGCTCGCAAATTAGAACCACTTTGTTTTTAAGGTAATTATAATTTCTGAAATATTCTAAATTATGGACGTTTTTATTCGAATATGAATTAAAAATTAATTGAATTTACTTAAAAAACTACAATAGAATGCTTTTTTTACTTCATTTAATTTAATAAAAACAAGAAAACGAGACGTAAGAATCCAATGCAATACATGTAACATGTATTTTTTTTTTTAATAAAAAATATATGGCTGCATTACATTAAAAAAAGCGGGTAACATAGAGAAATAGGTGATTTCCCCTTTTAAATTTTACTTTATTCAAACAAAATACAACTAACTGGGGTTTTCCTGTGATCAAATTAAAAAAAAAAAAAACAAATTCAAAAGTCCAATTTCTGGAAGATTCGAATTTCTGAGATTTCATATTCCATAGTTATTTATTATGTATATATTATATATATTGTAATTTTTTTTACTTAACTATTTTTATACCCGAGCGCACTTGTGCACAAGGGTATTATAACTTTGTTCACATAACGGTTGTTTGTAACAGGCAAAACGAATCGAGATAGATATAGACAAATGTATACATAAATGATCAGAATGAAAAGAGAAATCGATTAAGCGGTGACTGTCTGTCCGTCCGTCCGTCCGTCCGTCCGTCCGTCCGTCCGTCCGTCTGTGCACACGATAACTCGAGTAAAAATTGAGATATCTTAACGAAACTTGGTACGTGAACTTCTTTTGGGCGTGGGACGGATGGTATTGAAAATGGGCGAAATCGGATAATAACCACGCCTACCTCCCATATAACGGTAATTTTAAGAAATACGAAAACTGCGATATTTTAGTAACTACTGAAGATAATCCACTCAAAATTGATACTTACAATGAGTTTCAGACGGAAAATATGAATATTAAAAATTTTTGGAAAATGGTCGTAGCCACGCCCACTTATGGTTACATGTGTATATCTTGGTAACCGCAGCACCAATTTCTTCCAAACTTGGTACAGTTGTTGGCCTTAGTACAGCATACTAAATGGCTGAAAATTTAAAAAATCGGACAATAACCACGCCTACCTCCCATATAACGGTAATTTTCAGAAAAACGAAAACTGCGATATTTTAGTAACTACTGAAGATAATTCACTCAAAATTGATATTTGCAATGAGTTTTAGACGAAAAATAAGAATATTACAAAATTTTGGCAAATGGGCGTAGCCACGCCCACTTATGGTTACATGTGTATATCTTGGTAACCGCTACACCAATTTCTTCCAAACTTGGCACAGTTGTTGGTCCTGGTACAGCATACCAACTGGCCGAAAATTTCTAAAATCGGACAATAACCACGCCCACATCCCATATAATGGTAATTTCGAGAAATACAAAATCTTCGATAAATCAGTAAATATTGAAGCTAATTTATTCAAAATTGATGATTGCAACAATTCTTTACCAAGAAATACGTTTATGACAAAATTTTGGGAAATGGGCGTAGCACCGCCCACTTGTGATCACATATATGTATCTCGCTAACCGTTCTAGCAATTTGCACCAAGCTCGGTATGGTTATTGTGCTTGCCACATAAAAGCAAACCGTTGAAAATTGTTGAAATCGGACTAAAATTGAGGCCGCATTTCATATAACGGTAAATTTCAGATATGCTTGAAATTTCAATATTTCGAAATTTAAGGACGCTAATTTACTTAAAATCTATACACCCCGGCTTATCATGTAGCGGTAGCTTTCGGAAAGGTGGAAAACATATATTTAATACTTGCGCCGGGTATTTAATGTTCGGCTCCGCCCGAACTTAGACTTTCTTACTTGTTAAAATAAATCTTCCTCAATCACCTGACCTGATTAGTTTTGCAAAAGGCTGTTTATTCAAGCGAAGCTCTAATTTTAATTCTTTTCAGCTAGGTGGCAAGTTCCTATAAAAACTTGGGTAATTATAAGCTTTTAAATGCTCTCAGCTCACGAAATACACTTCGCATTACATTTTAGTTTGTTTAGACTTAGTCAATCTTTTCGTTAATTTTCGATTCGACCGCGAAAAAGCTGAATTTTCGTTCTTTCCATCAGTTGCTCCACACCAATCATTACTTCTGGGTATGCGAATGGGAAAGAGTTGCACTGAGCCTATTCAGAGTGGAAATGGTACCAAGTAAAATCAACACTTATAGAGAAAAATTTCTAAACGAAATGACTATCCCACTGAAGAAATTATTGATTTCGCAAGAAGATCAATAAACTTGTCATTCTTGAAATTTTTCCATTGATACACAACTTTCCGATGCCAGATCACCGCCACGATCCTTTGTCTGTGCGGAGACGTTCATTTCTCGTGTCTCCGCATTTTTCTTTCTCTCTCTCTCTCTCTGTTCAATCTCTCTTTCAAAGTGTTTCGCAGTGGGTTGCATACAAATTAATCACATTGTTGACTCCTTTGTATGCGGATGATGAAGATGCTGCTGTCACCGCTGCTTTTGTTGTACGCTCGCTCGTGGCTGCTTATTTGCGAACGTTATCGTACTCATCCCACGTATTACCTTTTTTGTTGTCGCTCCCAGCTTTGTTTGGATTGTTGCAACTTTTTCATTATCAACGCTTAGTCTTAATACATATCTACTTATATACAAATATATATATGTGTGTGCATATGTATGTAAGTATGAGCACAAAGTGCAAGATCATCAAGTACCACCGAAGGCACTTAAAACTCGCCCAGCAGCAGTGTTGCTACGTGGAAGTTGTTGTTAAGGTTGGTTGGGCCAGCCTGTTGGCCTGTTTGTGCTTTTACTTGAATTGGTTCGTTCTTTCCCAGTTCGTTGGTTGGTTCGTTCATTTCTTGGTTAGTCCATTGGAGGCGAGCCGCCAGCCAGCCAGCCAGCCAGCCTGTTTGGAGATTCACGCTGTCAACTGTTCGCTTTCGTGCGCTTAGCTGTGCAGAAGAATTCCCATTATTCGCTGTAGTGCACAAATATTCTTCCTCATCGCTGAGTTGCCTTGCCTTTGCCTTGTGTGGAATTCAGTGTCAATGGCAACAAGAACAATAATAACAATAACGCCAGCAACAAAGAGCCCCAACACACTGAGAAACGGTTGGAGAGTTCAGCTGCAAGCCATTGCTGCTATGACTGTCACTGTCAGCTATCGTCACGTCGGACGCCAGTTGCCAGTTGCTAGTTGCTAGTAGTCGGCAATTCACATTCGCCAATCCACCAGCTTTGTAAGCCAACCAGCCAGCCAGCCAGCTAGCCATCTAGCCAGCCAACAGTCAACACCAATCATCAGTTGTGTCGCCGCCTGCCATTTCAGCCGGTCGAATGCTAAGTCGCCAACGGTTGTGGCTGTCAGTTTCAGTCGTTGTGGAATCTCAGCGCTGCGCAGGCGTGCCTCTACTGCTTCGAACGTCTGCGTCTTTGTGTCTTTTGTGTCGCTTCTGCCTCAGTGAGTTAGGACGGGCTGTGAGCTGGTGGAGCTGTAAGCTTTATGCTAGGTCTGAGTGTCATCTTCGGTTGTTGTTGTTGTTGTCAAGTTGATTGTCGTCGTCGCCGGTTAAACGGGTGGTGATTGTGCGTGTCGTGAATTATAGTGTATTTAGTTTTGTCGTAAGATTATTTTGTGGCATAACAGCAATGGCAACAATTGCCGTTAATAATTCTTAACGCTTTCTCTTGTTCGCTTTAAGGAGTGTTTAGTGCATAGTGTGAATGCTTTTATGAAGCACTGTGCTTCGCAAATCTACTCTATACAGCTTTAGAGCTCTATTGAATTTACGTTTAGTTTGTAACGTGGTGATTTTTTTAGAAGTGCGGAGGTTAATTGGAAATGAAATGAACGGAAATGATTTTGAATGGTTTATACTCTGGCGATGTTGCATTCAGAATGAAAAACGGAGTTACAGTGATGTAGAACTTAAAAACAATTATAAGTGAAAAATTTATTTCAGAATAAAATTAAGTAAAAGAAAAGAAAATAATAAACTAGTAATATTTTATCAAAAGAAAAAACAAAACAAATTTAAAAATTTTTAAAATTTAATATTCGCAACGCATGCTACATAAATACTAAAAAAAACTAAAAACTTAAATAAAATAGTATAAAAGAAAAGAGAAGTTAGATAAATAGAACGTTAAATACAATTTTATAAAAAATAAAATTAAAAAGAAAATTATTTTAAATAAAAAATCAACTATAATAAAGGAACAAAGAAAGATTAAAATAAAATAAATTAAATTAAAAATCAGTTACTATTAAGACAAAAACAAAAAAAAAACAATAAAAAATAAAAATTTGTTAAATATCAAATAAAAATTTAAAAATAAATTCAATTACAAAATAAAAACAAAATAAAACTGTTAATTATATTAAATAAAAATTCCACTATAATAAAAAATAAAAAAGTTAAGGGGAAAAAAATGAAAAAATAAATTATGTACATAAAATTAAAAAAATAACAATAATCAAATTAACTAAACTGAACTGAATAAAAAACCGTACAAAAAGTAACCAAAAAAAAAAAAAACAATAAAAAAGGAAACGATACAAAAAATAAAATGATTTCAATTCAATAAAAAATCAATTATAGTAAAAAATTAAAAATAAAAATAATACATATTATATATATATTATTTAGAGTAAAATAGAATAAATAAAGCAAAGCAAAATTAAATGTAATGAAATTAAATAGCGTAAAATAAAATAAAGTAAACCAAATTAGTAAAATTATACAAGTTACCTATTAAAAGTATATAAAAAAAAAAATATTAATATAAACAAAATATTGTAAAAAACAATGAAATTTCGATATTGATTTATCTGGAGTTGGGTTTATTAAATCTAGGCAAACTTTGCTTTCTGCTCACAAGAAAAATAAAATAAAAGTTAAGAAGAAGGAAATTGTGATGATTTAAAACTTTTGCAATTTATTTCGATCACCAAGGTTGGAAATATCAAATTCAAGTAAAAAAAATAATTGAAGCATAAATTTTCATTCGAAATTATTTTGGTAAATTAAAAATTAAAATAAGGCTTTGAAACATCATATAAACTAAAAGTAAATATATGTATAATAAAAAAAAAATTACGATTCGAACAAGTATTTTCGAAAAATTATTATTGAAGCTTAAAACTATTCGTGAAAAAAACTCCGATTCCAACATCTTAAGAGTTTCAAATGCATATAAATTAAACCAACACGTGGCAATATACTTACTTGAAAAAATATTCCGACCAATTAATAATCTGCTCCTTTTTAAGTCGGTTAAAAATAAGTAAAATTCGAAAAAGAGTTTTTAAAAGGCTTCACGAAAACGTTGTTTGAATTCTTACCTCACATAAAACAAGCATATATTGCTAACGAAAAAAATAAATAAAAATCTTAAAAATCCTGAAAGTGCTGCTAAAGAAAAATTTGAATATGAAAAGCAAACAAATGTCTGCGTGCATTACATACACTTCAATAGAAAAATAAAAAATTCACAATTTCTAAAATTGGACAAACATTAGCAATAAATTTCGAAAATATTTTTACAAGTATATAAAATATGAAAATTTAAGTGGAAACAAACAAGGCGTTGAGAAGAATTTCAATATCAGAATTCCATTGTGGCGATTTGCAAGCAATTGTATGTATGTACATATGTATGTAGTTAGTATATGGATATGTTGCTCTTGTCGTTTTTGTTGCTCTTTTTGTAGTCTTTATTGTTGCACGCCGGCTGGCGCATACAAAACATTTTTGTTCACTTACGCCTGTTTGCCGCATTCTCGACAAGTGTCAGTGTAAATTGTAGCATGCAAAAATCTTTTGTTTATTTATTAAAGGATCACTCGTTTCCTTTTTGCATTGAACTTTTTTTCATACGTAAAAATTGTTTGCTCATAAATAATTTTTTTATTCGCGCAGACGAAAGTCATCTGTTAAGTGGCGGTGTGAAAAATCGTATTTCATACAAATATTTAAAAGCAAACGAAATTATGAAGCTACCGTAAATATTTTGAGCTACGTGCAGAGATTTTTAATGAAAGAATTAATTGTATTCTTCTTTGAGGATTGGCGATATTTTTTACTTTTTTCGTTGGCTTCTCCAAAGCGTTGGAGTGCCTAAAAAATCGTCGATAATCTGAAAGCCCACTTAAGTCTTTAAATATTATATATTGCAATTGACTGTAGTGGGCAGGGACCGTAACAGTTACAACTTTTATTAAGAAAATCGCTCTTTAACAACTATTTTTTTACTTCTATTTAATTTGTTCGTAAATACCCGTTATTTCAGACTTTTATCTTATAAATCCAAAATAACAATTATTTTTGATTTTTATCTAAATAATCTGCAAATAACAGTTATTTTTGATTTTTAAATGATATGTCTTAGATAACAGTTTTCGAAGACTTTTATATATAAAAATCAGTCACTGACCTTTATTTTTTAAATCATACTTGTAAAAGTAATTTGTATAAGTCGTAGTAAACTTTTGTTTCCCAACACCTTCTTAACTGCGAAAAATGTTAACGACTTTTATACGAATGAGTTAAAAAATAATAGTCGGTGACTGATTTATATTAATGACTTTTAAAAGCAAAAGTCACAGACTGATTTTTATTGATGACTTTTATAAATAAAAGTCTTCAATAACTGTTATCTAAGACATATAATATAAAAATCGAAAATAACCTTTATTTTGGTTTATAATATAAAAACAAAAAAATTATTGTAATTTTTTTTTTAATTTTGCATAAAAATTTCAAATAAAAATTTATTCTCAAATTTGAGTTTCGGTGAAAAAATAAATCGATTGGTATGTATTACTTAGTTGTAGAACATTTCCTTCATAGTTAATTTTTCCATGACAGTTTTCATCAGTAATTGTTATGTTCAGTCCCTGGTTTTAGATCTAAGCGAAAAGTTTTCCATTTTCCTAACAATATTCTGGGCGACAGCTGCGAATGGTTACACTATTATCAGGTTAATAGTGGCGGCATTTGTGCTCGTAAACACTCCTCTCCTTAATCTAGTTGGGAGATCCACTTGAGTTTACTTTTTTGCTTTGTAGTTGTTGAAAAGACAAATCACTGACGTTAAGCTTCTTGCTTCAGTAAGTCTACTGCCTACACGATTTGTTCTAATGATCTTAATGATTTTTAAATTAATTAGGCATTTAATACACAATAACAGCAACAACAGCAATCAAAAGATAGAATAAGTAATGCAAGTGGTATTTAAATAATTTGCAGACTATTGTGAGTTGAAAACTCGATTCCACGAGCAGCATCGTCAAACTCAACAACGCGCGAAGTGATTTATGGTTGTGCATTAAGATCATTTAAATTTTAAAGTGATTTTTTTTTTCTACTTAGAAGAGGTGTTATTAACATCCATAAATTGAGTGAATAACTTTTTGGTTTACTGCTGGAAAATCGATTTTGTTAAACGAAATGAAATTCTGCGATAGCATCGAACTCACAAAAATGGTAAGAGAAATATTAATATCAAATCAAATATAGTCGCCATAAATTCCAAAGGTCTTATTTAACATTTTCTCTAGAAATGTGTTTCATTAAATTATTTTTCCTATTAAAGTTTTAAAAGTTATTTTCTTCTGCTGTAAAATTACAAATTTGTTAAATAGCGCTTTTGCATTGATGACATCGATATACATGTGTACATTATGTTCATTCGTATGTAAGTATTTAGAATTTTAGTATTTTTAACTTCTAATGGTGATAACTATATACATTAGGGCGGGTCAGTATTTTATGATTATGATGTAAAACCCATTTCGAGCTTGCCAAACTGCGAAACTAGTTTTTTCTTACGTATAGTTATGTATCTACATTAGGGTGGTCCAAAAATGCATGTGAAAAAGTAAAGTCGTTTTTTTTTTTAACCGGAAAAAATTTACCAATACTTTTTATTTTGCTCAAAAAATATTTAGCGATCGCTCAAAGCGCTCAAAGTTTTCCATGTATTTTATATGGGGCAAAACAACTTTTCGTAGAAAAGGTATAGAGTTCTTCAAACTCAATATTTTTCGATTGTAAGACTCTATTTCTCTTCAGGAGATTCCCAATAATAATACCCATTTAACAATATAACAATTTTTTCATATGTAGTACCAATATTTTATAGGTCCGCCAATACATTCAGAAATTACAGTGGTGGGATAAATGGAAAATCCTTAGTATAAAATAGTGTTAAAAAAACAATAAGGTATTGTTATTGGAAGTCTCCTGAAGAGAACCAAAGTTTTCTGATAAAAAAAATATTGATTTTGAAGAATTATACACTATTTCTATGAGCGTTGTGAGCGTCCTCAAAATAGCAAAAAATAGGGGTGCATTTTTTCTATATAGAAAAATCCTAGGGATGAGAGCATTACAATTCCGACTTTACTTATTTTGGACTACACTAATGTGCATACCCGTTAGGGAAAGCTACTGCTTGTGAACTAGAATGCTACCAATTTGCGCTTTTGCCCAACCAGTTTAACTTCTATCCTTTTAATTTAATTGAAGAATTATATTAACTTATGTACGTACGTTGATTTTACTTTAAAAATCTTAACCAAATCCAAGCGTATTCGAAATTTGATCTCAGAAGCGGACCCGGAAGTCAAAGTTGTAGTGCTAAACATTTTTTAGCTTACTTCGATTCTCTACAAAAAATGTCCATATACCAAATTATTTAGGTCTAATACTTTCGAAGATAATTGCAATTTTAGTAAAATAAATTTATTAATTAGTGTATTTATTAATTTAAATTTTTTTGGAGCAAATTGAACTTTTATGGACTTGGGCGGCTCGGCTAAGATATTGACCCAAACTTGTTATCTTTCACACAAATTGTTTTCAGAGCATAATGTACCCATATTTTTGGTTCATTATGCTATTACATATTTGCTATTAGCAATCGAAATTATAAAAATTATAAAAAAGCGGATTTTCGGCTCACGTACATATGTCCATATGTCGTTTTGGGAAAATAAGTCGACATCCTATTTTGGGGTATAATTTTTTGTTTTGCAAAATATTTTCTGCCGTTTCGGAGCCTCAAGGTCATTGCATTACGTTTATCATGCGTTGCGTTTCTATAAAATATTGCCTTGCGCTTTGAAAGGCATACATTTGCGCGCACACACACATGTGTAAATGCGCTTGAAAATATTTTTAGACATTTAACCATAAATCTGTCAATCAAGTATCAATTGGAAGCTTATTAATATTTCAGCAGATGAAATAATGATCGAAAGAAGAAATAATAATGGTTTATAGAAGAAAAAAAAAACACATTCGAAAAGTCGCATCTTCACTTTGTATTTAATAATTATGCTCTTTCTGTGGCTAAAAGGCTGATTAATTATATTTCTTAATTATGAATCAACTAATTCGACATATTTTCTTACACAAGCTTCGTTTATTTGTAACCGAGCTAGAAAAAAGAACGCTCAGCTTGGTTAACATTTCAATTTCGATACCTAAGCAACCCTGTTGGTATCTGCCAGATACCTAAGCAACCCTGTTGGTATTTGCCATGATACGACAATCACTGATACTTTGCTATATATGTGATTCTTACAACCACCCTTAAGGCTTGTTTTCACTATGTCAAATTCAATAGCATTTCTCGTCAAATATGTAAGTCAAAACACATTGTAAAATGGCATTTAAAAGCTGTATATTAATTGATTTCGATCAGCATAGGTCTTTGGTCGTGTACATGCGCTGCTAAATCGGCTCTCTGTCTGTTTTTGACCTATTTACAATATTATTGGCAAATATATGAATAAAGGAGATAAAGTTGTGTCAAAATATGTCAACAAATATTTTGGCGGCAAAATATTATATAGTGAAAACCAGGCCTTTATTCAGGGCGTTTCATAAGAAAATAGCCTTCCAAGTTGGTTCCTCCTCAGATGCGATTTAAATTTTCTATAGCCATATTAGACATTTTTATGGCAGGAACGTGGTTAAGCTCTTGTGAGTGCACACTACTTCCCATCCTGTGAAGCGTGCGAAAGCTTATTCCTTCTTTCTATTCGTTCCTTGAGGTTATAATTTTGCGCATATTTGTGACTTTTACGTAACCTTATATAGTAATGATGGCATCTACGGTATTTTTAAGCCATTTTGGGGTTAAGTTTGCATGTGGGGGTATGGGTTAAAATAAACCGATTATTCCAATTTTTTTTGGCTGTTTAGTTATAAATAATATTATTACTAACATGTGTGCAAAATTTGGGAATGATATGTTCATCGGTCCGTTTTTTACGGCCATTTTAAGACGTTTTTGAGGTTAGGTTTATATGGGAGCTATGCCTTAAAATAAAACGATCACGTTTTTCGTTTTTTTCTTGAATCATTCCATAAATGTTACATACGGAAAACTGAGGTTCCACGACGATTCCTTCTAATTTTTTCTAAAAAAATTTATGGAGATGTACAGCTGTGCACCGCAGGGGCTTCTGTAGGCCCTACAAAGGATAAACGGGTGAAGCCACAATTGCTGATAGAGCGTATTGGCCATTATTAAAAAAAATCAGGTTCAAGGTTTTCAAAACATCTTCAAATACTTTTTCGATATGTTTATGCAGGCTTAAATTTTATTTTTATTTTTATTTTTTTTTGTAAAAACCGAATTTTTCTTATTTTTTCTATTTGCTAATGCATTTATTTTCATAGAATAACTACATAAATACATATGTGTAAAATAAGTAGTATATTACAAGACTGCTCTTGGCGTTGAGGAAGCAAAAATTGAACAACAAAAAAAACGCGCAAAAGAGATAATAAATAGCTATAACTGTTGATTGCTGCAAAGCATAATTATAGCCATTTACAAGCCACGAGCGAACAAAAGTAATGCATTGTACATACGCAGATACAACAACTGAAACCAAATGCTCTATTGACAAGGAATTTTGCTCTTGGCCTTAAACAAATTATATGCTTTGGTCGAAGCAAAGTGTAATTTCGCTCTGCCGCAGCCACAATGGCTTGAGGCAGCACTTTTAAGCAGAAACGCTTTGCAGTTTATGAAAAAAAAAAACTTTACCTAATGAATAGTAACAGTTTCTAAAAGCAATACCTAAGTATATATTATGCAAAATTAGCAGTAAATTAGGAAGTGTTACACTTAAAAGCAAATGAAGTGCAAATTGCTATGTTCGATACAAAATTTGTTCAAAGTCTTTTTTTTTTGCACGAAATATTTTGCATATTTTTCACGAGATGCCTAAAAATTTATAAAGACATCCAGTTAAGTATGTACATATTTACATATGTATGCGAACTCTGTGTTCATAAGTATACAGAAATACTTTTTATTGCTTGTTATCCGCGCTTCTTTGATGCTGCTTTCCTTTAAAAAAAAAAGATGAAGAAATTGGCTTTCAAGTGCGCGCCAAAAGCAGCAGCTAACTACCAGTTAGTTAATGATTATTTAATTAGCTTGCCAGTGAAAAGTTAATATGAACTTGATATTGAATTTTGGTGCTAGTGAAAAAAAAATTAAATAAATACGCCAATTTATGAGCGAGCGTGCCGGAAAAAATGCGAAAAAATACACACAACTAAAAAAAATTGTGTAATAAATTGAGATTTGTTTGTGCTTATTTTCAGCGTTTCTTTTTTAAATATTGGCACATAAAAAATTTTAGCATAAACAATTTGCATTTTTTATGTTTGCTAAGTTATTGACTCAATATCGGTGTGAAAACAGCAATAAGGTAGATGAAAGCCGATACGTAACAGTGTGGGAGGAGAGTTGGCGTAGAGTTAATGTGTGAATTTTTACTCGCTAGGGAAGCCCAAACTACTGATAATGGTTCTAAATTTTCCCAGGGCTCGAGGTTTTCTAAAAAATTAAAAACTACATTTACTTAGCTACATTTAGTGCCAGTTTCACGAAAGCAATTTAAGTGAAAAATGTTTTTTGTACTCTCTGAAAACTTACCAAAGGTATAAAAAAACATTTAAAACACCCAAACAATGTCCCGGAAAAACATACAGATTTCAGCAATCTCAAAACTAATAGCACGAAGAATCTCAAAATATGCCGACACATCCCAAAAGTATCCGCAAACGATTGAAAAGTAAAATACGAAGAGTCTTGCTAAATATATATATAAAATAAATATATACGAAGACTTTCTAATACAGCTTCGAAAAGTTTTCGAAAAATTGCCAAAATAAAGCAAGAAGTATCCCGAAGCAATTTAGAATGGATCACGAAAAATACCCGTAACAAAATCCGAAAAGTTACGAAAAATCTCAAAACAATCTAGAAATTCTGAAAAATCACAAAAATCTCGCAATAGTAGTTCCAGGTAAAAAAAAAGCATAACACCCCAGGATAATCCTAAAAAGACCCAATAAGAAGACAAAAGGTCTCGTATAATCCCGAAGAAAACAAATCACGAATAATCTTGAATTGCAATGTAGAACTCCCAAAAAGTTATTGGAACGCCCGGGAA